TTAGTCTGGTCTTATCCTCTGCCTCCAAAAGTAGGTGATGACTAATGCTTCCAAGGAAGGAAGGCTAACAGAACCTCAGACATCCACAGCTGATTTCAGTCAGGTCTTTTTTTTTTTTTTTTTTTAATATTATTCATCATTTTATCCCTTCTATTTTAAGTTGCCATTCTTGAAAAAATGTTCTTACTCTGTCATCCACCATTTCACAAAAGGTAGCTGAAAAATTGAAGAGAATTCAGAGTAAACATACATGAAAGAATCGAGAAGTCTGCCCTTTATAGGGAGTTTAATTGATACTTAATTTAAATGTTTTAATTTGATTTAACCAACGACCTGGCTGTGTTCTGAAAGGATCTGCATAAGTAAGAGTGGCAGGTCTGTAATGCAGATGACAGGAGCATAACAAAATGCAATGGTTGGAAGCAGAGCTAGCTAAATCTAAAACCAGACATACAGGAGAAGTTGTAATTATGGTGCTTAATTGCTTGTCCAAACAATTTACCTAATGCTGTGTTGGATTCTCCAACACTTGCATTGTTTCAGTTTAGGCTATGTGCGCTTCATAAATATTCTTTAGTTCAACAGAAGCTTTGTGGAGCAGTAGTTGGGTACAGTTCAGTGCAGAAGGGCTGGTCGAGATGGTCAGTGAGAAAGGCTTTCAAAGCAGTGACGTAAAGAAGATTTAGGGGATTTTTTTTCTGGGATGGGGCAGTGAATTTGGGAAGTGGGTATTGCCAGAGTGGTCAGTGAGTAAGGACTCACAGGAAAAGCTTGTAGCAGTCAGATCAGGGACAGAGCTGTTAGTAGTTACTGCTGACCAGGGATGGCCATGGGACAGTGGCAGGCAGAATTTCAGAAGGCTTCAGCCAAGACAGGGAGACATGCCACTGACGAGGAAGCAAAAGGTTGTTGACCCTCTGGGAGGGTTCCCAGGGACAGGGGCTCTGCTAACAAAAGCTTTTCCAACCTTGCTGTGTTAAATGTTGCATGGCTAGATTTATTCAGGTTTGCCAGGAAGGGGCTCATTGAATGCAAACCACATCTGAAGAATGATTTGATTGGGGCAGAAATGTGGGGGCAGCTGTATATTTAACCTATAGGTTAACTTTTCAGTGAAAAATAACTTTTTATGGAAGAAAATACCTCAAAAGTGAAAGGTGTGTTTGCTGGTGGGCCAGAAAAGCACTACCATTATCTACTGGAGATTCTCGTGTTCAATTGCAGGAACCACAGTGACACAGAGAGAGTGACGTAAGAGTAAGTTTAGAGTAAGGGGATTAGTTATAGGCCCAGGTTTCTCTGTCCTTACTTGCCTACATCACAAAATGTTTTGCTGCAAAGGAGCTTCTACCTGAAAATAGGCAATATTGCAGGGAATGGAGAGGGAGCACTGATGGCTTTGTCTGAACTAGCCAGGGTTCTCCACCATGGAGAAGTCTGCAGAGAGGTGGGAGGCTGTGCCTCTCTCCAAAACCCTGTCCCTTACATTCTTCTTTGCTTTTGGCCTTTTACCAGCTGACAAAATGGGGGTAAAATAACAGTAAACCCAGAAGTTTAACTTCAACTGTTAAAAAGAGATTAATTCACTTTCTTTTTTTATGATCTTGCAGAGTAGTTAGGCTAAATTTAATTGAGGCTGGGGAGCTGGGGCTGGAACAGATGAGGAAAAGGGAACTTGCTGAAAACACTGTCAAGGCCCAGATAGCAAAAACAAGTAACAGTAAATGCATAACAGAAAATGAGAGGGGGAGAAAGAGGAAGAGAAAAGGCTAACGGGGAAACAATTAGAAAATACCACCACGGCCAAAACAAAGGCGTTAGAGGTTAGCTGAGAGGAAGCTGCGTGCCAGCTTACAGTCAGCAGCTGAGTTACTGCAGGGTGTTCCTCACACTCCCAAGCTGTCCGTAGGAGCGTTCTGCTCCTTAAGCTCATTCACTGAAATTCTCATTGTCTTCAGCCGTCCTCAGTGCTGTGCAATCTGGCTGCTGAGGCAGACATTCTTGGTTTGTGCATCGTGCAACCCATCCTTGCCATCAGCCTGGCAGGCCATGAGAGCTGAGTGGGACCAAGGCATGCTGCCTGGGAGGTGGTTAAGGAACGTTCCAGAACAGGAACGGTGATAATCTAGTCAGTACTGGGATTTTTTTTCCCCTTGTTTCCTTTGAATCAGAATGGAGATAATGTCCAGGATCTGAGGGTGCTCATGCAGCAGGATGCTCTTTCATATGAAATATCAAGCCAGAGGCTGAAAACCTGTTAGAATTAAACTCCAGGATGCTTTTAGCAATGGGTAAGGTGCAGTTGTCTTCTCATGTAATAACTCTGAAGAGTGAAGACTTGTTCTGTTTTGCTCTTAGGGCTGAGTGCCCTCATTGCTTTCTGATCTTAAAACCTAGATAGTTGCTTGAATTTTATTGCTGCTTGTACAGTTTTGAAGGATGTGGGAGGAGGAAGCATCAGTGTAGGTGAATGTTACTGATGGAGTGACAGTCATTTTCAGGGTTGGTGTTGTTAATGGGAAGTACCAGGCAGAGGGACCGTGGTTCCTGTGCCCTCAGCCTCCACCTGTCATGGCTGGTTTGCTCCCCAGCCCTGTGGGGAGGACCTGCCTTTCACTTCTTGCTTTCAGAATGATGCTCTGCAGTCTTACCATAGATTTGGATGATAGGCAGACAGAGGAGGAAAGTCACATCCTTGCAGCTCAGCCTTGGATACTTGTCCATCTCCAGACTGCCCCTGCCGTGCTCCTGTCTGCCTCATTTCTAGCCAACCTGTGTCTTTTTTTCACTGGTATTGGATTCCTAGTGCAGCTGGCTCACTTTCTAGTATTAGAAATTGTCAAACTACTGTCTGCATGTCAAACAGTCAGACTGCATGGCCAGGAAGAGACAAAACTGTTGGGACTACTGTTTGGCACTTGCCAGTTTCTCTCTCGTGCAAGGAGTGATGGAGGTGGAAGATGACTATAAATTGTCTACTTTCTGGTGTTGGGTCAGACATTGGGACTCAAAGCAGAAATTACTCCTGAAGTGGAAAACCTGTTACCTGAAGTAAATTTATCATACTGGAATAAGCACTTGTTTATATCCGTCAGTTTAAACAGTCATTGCTGTTAGCTGGAAGTTCTGTTCCTGCACTACCATGTGGAGACCTTGATCCTTTCCCCTGACTGACTCAGCACTGCCAATAACAAATTGCTAGGACATGGTTATCCATACAGGAACCCACAGGAATACGTTCTCTAGTTTATACCCAAGAGTCTTCATTTGCTGCTTTGATAAAGGGACTCAATGGAATTTGTTCCACCATGAAGCTTGTAGGATGCAGCCAGGATAAACTGGCAAAATACCTCTGCTCCTAATTCCTGAGAGCTTAGTCTTGACATTTCTAGTGATGTGTGAGCCCAAATAAGGAAATAAAAAAGGGAAACAGTGTCCTTTCTACTTTGTTTTCTCTAGGGCAGACTTAAATATGATATCAGGGATGTCTTCTGCCTGCCTAAATGGTCTTTGTAATCCCGGGGGCCGGTTGAAGAGCTCAGTGTTGCTTGTTTCTTGGAAAACTATGTGTGCATGGAAGTCTTAGCTGTGAGGCACTAGGGATATGCCCAGATAGGCTGGGAGTGGCCCCTCTGAGGGGGTCTGCACCTGCCAAAAGGCCACCTTTCATCTTCCCCCTTTCTGTTTCCCACCCTGCGCTCGGGTGACCGTTCACACCGGTACAGTCCTTGGTGGCATGCCCAGCAGAGCTACAACTCTCTTGCAGCTCAGCCCCAGCAGGTTGCATTTACTGCTGCAGTTAGAGACCACCTCTGTGTGAATCCAGCAGCTCCTCTGCTTTGTCCTGTTGTTCCCAGGTGGAAGTGTCTTTCTACCATGGCAGTCTGCTCACGTCTCCCATGGTTTGGTGCTATCTCTTGCACTGATCTGTTTCCATGAGCAAAACAAATCTTTCCTGTTTGGGTCGCAGCTACCTGCTGGCTTTGGTGGCCTTGAGGAGTTCTGACAGCAAAACAGTGTGTGGGCAAAAGTGACAAAGTACTCAAGAGCTCCAAAATTAGCATTAGCTTTTGTCTGTATGGGGTCTTCATTTCTCCAACACTTCTCAAATCCAGCTCCATAGGATCATCTGATGGTACTGTAGGACTGTCGTTGCTACCCAGCAAGTATGGTTTGTGTGTGGTGAAAAGCACTTGTTTATTGCAATGAACAGGATTTTTATGGGCAACATTTTCAGTAGCATTTGAGTCCAGTTCTCAAAAGTGATGTAGGCTTTTAAGAGGCCAAAGCCAAGATTTTCATAAATAAGTAATGATTTGGGCTGCCTCTGTTTTTTGTTACACAAGTCAAGATGTCTAAAAGGAGCCTGGTTGTCAGCAGTTGTGGGATTCTGGCATTTTTTCAAAATTGATATGCTTTTAAAATGTCTTAAGCTGGGCATTCAGAAATGGAGGCATCAAGAATGATTAGCTGCTTTTGAAATCCTTTTTCTTAAAAGTCTGAATGAAAATCACTGGGGCATGGGGTCCTAAATGACATGTGAAAAAGTGCTAAAAGTGTATTTTGGAAGTGTCTGCCTATCTGTGACTAGACTTGTCCCCAGAGCACCTACACTGTTGTACTTTAATGTACTCACAAAAGCCTAATAGGGAAAGGCAAATACATCACTACTGTGCTGAATGGGTGGTGGGATTGATGGGCTGCTTCAGGGTATCATCCTATCTCTGCTCTGGTTTGAAGAGGAAAAAAGCAATGCTTTTTGTAGGCACCAGCAATAAGCTAATCAGCAACTCTGACCTGCTGGGAAAAGAAAGACAAGTTTGTATGTAAAGTCCTATACATTAGGAACAATATTGTCTAAAGTGAAGCATGCACCAGTTAAACATATTAAAGGGTTTTGTAGGTTTGATTTCATAAACCAGCAGAATAGTAGGAATCCAACCGTTGTTTCCCCAACCTAAATTCCTAATGCCCGTGTGACTTTTTGCCTCTCCTCTCAGATCTGAACCATGTCCCACCCGTCCTGGCTGCCACCCAAGAGTACCAATGAGCCTGTTGGTCATGTTACTGCAAGGATGGAGACCACGCACACCTTTGGGACTCCCAGCATCTCAGTGTCCACCCAGCAGACTCCAAAGAAATTTGCACCTGTCGTTGCCCCCAAACCAAAGTACAACCCATACAAGCAACCAGGAGGTGATGGTGAGTATTTATTTTTTTAGGAAGGAACCACAACTAATTCAGAGAAACTGACTGCTAACACAGGCTGTTCCTGACTTGGTCTTTGTTGGTGAGTTTGTGGGAGCCTCCCTGTTTCAGATCACTCATATCAAGAAGAATGTGAAGGTATCTCCTACCCTTGCTCTGGCTGCCTACCCTTCTGAGAGGTGTAGGGCTGGGGGAGGACATGGGGACAGGTGTTTCTTGGTTTTAATTTGGAAGCAGATCTCCCATGTCCAAGGCTGATACTTTTGAAAGGAAGCTTGTTAGTCTCTGCTGGCATGTGATGATTCAAGGAGCTTGGGCTCGAACAACCCTTTTCAGTATTGATCTATGGGAATATGGGTATAATTGGGGGTTGTAGGGCCTAAGTTTGGCAGAATGAATTTGAAAGTGCTTCCTCTTCTGGCTGGATTGTTTTATTCTTTTCCCTCTACTATGGAACACTCTTGAATATGAAATAATTCAAAGGATATTTATATGACCATTGCAATAGCCTCTGAAACTGTTATGTTAGCAAAACAAATGCCTGCCAGTCACTGCGTGTTGACCTTCTTCTGCCTTCTGCTGTAAAAGTCCTCCTTTCTTCATGTGATTGAGCAGCAAGCATGGGATTTGGGTTCCTGGCTTGTGGACACTTGGGGGGAGGGAGTTCCCAGCATCAGGAGTGCATGGTTGGAAGCGCCTCTGGGGTTTCAAACTGGAAACCTGCCAGTTGGAGCACCCTGGATGCCCCTGGCTGACACTGGAAAGTGTGTGATAGAACCTTACTGCAGCAGAAACAAGGAGAAAGCCAAGGATTTTAGGAAAGAGTGGTAGCTGTCTTGGCAAGGCATGACTTTTCTGTTTGTGGTGATTTACTATGGTTAGAAATGGGTGGAACACTCTTCCTCTCCTCCTCTGCAACCCTCCCTCAAAAGAAAAGCTCAGTTGTATTAAAGAAAATTGCCCAAACAGCTTTTGTGTATGATTTTGGATGCTCTACTTTTTTCCATTGTCACGTTTTCCTCTTTTGTATTGAGTACAATAAGTTAAATATCATCTGTATATTTTTTCCTCTTACTGCTCTATCTTTTGTAAGTTGTATGCATTTTCAGGAAGACTACAGAATAATGGAAAGGAGAAATAAAAACAAAGGAGCACATTAAGTCTTGCACTTGAGTGATTTTGTGAAGTGAAGGATAGCTTGTAGGAAAGTTGGAAAAGTCTGAGTGTTTTGGTTTTTTTCCTCTGCCGCTCTAATTTCAGAGAATTCAGAACAAAAAAAGAAAATGTGTTGGAGGGGGAAAAGCGAAGTCTTATGCACCTGTTCTGCTGCCTTCAGTAACAAAACTTAGCGAGAAATAGGAAGAGAAAGACATTTGGAATTTTAAAAGTAAAAAATAATCCACTTCTGAAATGCAGTGAAAATGTCACCTTCAAGTCAAGTGGAAATTCTTATTTTTCTGACTCTCTTGAAATTAAAAATAATAATGGAAAATAACCCTCTTTTTTCCTAGGAAAACTGTTCTCGATCAATCACTTATTTTTGGGTGAAAAAAGTCAGTATGTCTTGTCAGTGCTTTAGTGATTGTGGGTCTGATTATATGTGACTCAGGAACATTATCACCCTCTAAAATTTATGTTTCTTGGCATTTGGGGAAGGAGGCTTTCCCAAAGAGCACAGCAGGCACTGCAGGCTGAGAAGGGGAGACAAGACACACTAACATTTCTGATGCAACCCTGAGTGTCTGGTCCCACAAACAGTCAGGCATCACCGGGTCTGTTGGAAACTGGGAGACAATCAGGAACTCATAGGGGGACTTCATCAGTGCCAGTCCCTTGCCTTGTCTGATGCTGGGCATTTGGGGATCCTGTCATTATCTGACAGGCCTGGAAGAGCTAAGGGTTGGCCAGGACCTGGTCAGAGACAGGCTTAGTGATGTGACAGCGTGCCTGCAGCTTAAGCTAATCCACTTTCAAAAGGTGACATGCTGCTGGTCGCTGTCAGCAGCCCGTGCAAAGCCATTACCCAGCCATATATAACCCTGAGAACATGAGGCTTCTGGGATCTGGCAGGCGAGAGCAGAGCAGTGAGAAATATTTAGCCCAATGTGCTTCATTCACTTTCTGTGGCTCCCTTCTCCAGGCTTCCTAATTGTTTTTTCAATGACCTCCCTGCTTTTGCAGCAATAATTCATCCTGGGAGACAGCTCCGTGCCCCGTTGGTTCCCTGCGTACAGGGGCACTGTGAGTCATTTTGCCTAAATTTGTTCTCTGTTGGTCACGGGTCTTTCCCATCTGGTTGGCTGTGAGTCTGTAGGTGGGAGAGCTCCAGGATTCCCTCACACCCTGGTGTGTTTTCATCCCTCCTACCCTGCCAGAGCTGCTTTGCTGGAGGAACACGGGGTTTACCTGCTTCCTTCTGCCGGAGATGAGTGGGAGCAGCGGCGCCGCTCAGGGGGAAGGGCTGTGATGGGGCAGAGGGTCACTGTGCAAGTCACAGTCACAGCATTGCCTGCCCCAGCAGTGTTGCTGGAATTGGTTCCCTGCAGCCTTTGGCAGCTGGAATAGTATCTGGAATCTCTCTGGGAGGCTGGTGAATTTTGTTCCTGGTAATTTCTTCAGCCTGTTGCTTTTAACATTCAAGATTGTGCATCCTCTGGCCTTGTGTTTCTTTATTATTATTTTGTAGGTGTGTTGCTTGCATATGGAGGGTCTGTCTGGCTGATCACATTTGTGATTTTATTTCTTGATCATATTGAAAGCACAGGGAAAAGACACTGGAGTGACAATATGGAGCAGGTACTGTGTGCACATGTAGGGGGAGTGACCGTACCCCCGTCTCCCTCCCACCAAAGCATTTCCTTGATCTCACCTTGACTTTGATTTTATTTTTCTTTTCCTGACACCTGCACAAAAATCAGCCAGAAGGTACTGATTAAAAGCTACTTAATGGAAGTTTAAAGGAAGTTAGAAATGGTTACATGACTGAAAAAAGTGAAATCACAACAGCCAACAGTTTATAAACCAGCAGCGTTTTAATGTAATTTGAAGCACTCAATGTGTGTGTGGTTTAGACCAGTGAAGTGAGCAATTTTGCTGGTGCTGCCAGCCCCCTCCTTGCTATTTGCCATGCTGAGTTGCTGCAACTTGTTTCAGACTATATTTATCCACTCATCAAAGCAGAGACCATTTCTTTCTATTGCAGAGATCTGTTTTGGGGGCCCCTGGGTATGACTGCAGTAGTGGTAGAAATAATAATGATAATCATCATTATCATCATCATCAGTAAGACCAGCTCTGCCTAACATTCTGCACAGGTCTCTGCCATGCAGAGAGCTGAAAAGGCGGGCACAGCTGTGTTTTTATAGGTCCTACAAACACCAGACCAGACTTCATGTTCTGTGGTCTGGGCTGGGTTTCTGGAGGATTTAATGCTTCCATTCCCCGCTGTGATGGTTTGCAGGGGATTAACCTTGCCTGATCCTGGGAGGCGTGAGCACCAAAGCTTCTGGGAAGTGCAGGTGCTCGTCATCTTACACAATTCTGTATTTACCCCACAGAAAGAGGAGAGCTGTTTGAGCTTGGGGAAGATGTTTATCTACAAGATGAACAAGTGTGCATTGGGAGGAAGTGTAGCTGCTGATGAGTTAGGCTGGAAATCAAAATTAGATGTCCAGACATTGAAACAGGAGCTCTAAAAGAGTTTAACCTGGGTCAAGGTGGTCCTTGGGTGGAGCTAGATGTAGTTTGAAGATTGAGAGCATCTTCTCTTTGTGCTTGGAGAAGATGAGTCCTGAGATGGATGAGGCAGCATCCAGCCATGGGTCCTGACAGTCCACTTCTTATATATTTGACTTCTTTTTCCATGCTCATGTGTTTGGTGTTATATGTCTCCTCCCTCTGCTCCTCAGCAGACCCTGTGCAGCTCTGTACGTAGCAGGGTTTGTCCTCTGTACTCACGGACCAAAAAATCTCTTAAGCAAAGTAATACCTTTTTCCAAGGAGTTCATATTTATTTTGTTTCCCTTAAAAGCATTGGATGCCCCATCATTGAAAGTCCTCAAGGTCAGGTTGGACAGGACTTTGAACAACCTGATCTAGTGAAAGATATCTCAGCTGATGGCAGGGAAGTTGAATTGGATAATCTTTCAAGGTCCTTTCCAACCCAGACCTTTCTGTGATTCTGTAGTTACCCTTTCTCCTTTCCCTGCCACTTACTTCTCTCCTGCTCTCCAGCTTTTAGACTTAAATTGGTATTTCAACATCTTCAACAGAGCTGGAGCCTTACAGAAGCGCTGCCACACAGCTGTTCCCATCTATGCTGGGCTCAGGAAGATGGAAAGGATTTATAGCTTGCAGATGAAGCAAATTCCCTTTTCTCCTCTTTTTCCTAGTTCCAGAAAATGGGGCCTCACCCTCAGGGCAGACTAAGGAGGCATCTGGTGTGGAGTGAGGTTGGCGATGGCTGATCCGCTGGCTTTGTGCCCACTGCCATGGGGCGGGTGGTGCTGGTGTGGGATTGTGCACTCCATGGCATGGGGAGGAGAGCTGGCAGCTGCTCCCAAACAAGTGCTGCTGAGGCAGGGCAGTTGGGATGTGCTGGGACAGTGCCAGGGGTTGTGAGGCCAGAAGCAGGGGCTTCAAAAATGTGTAAAAATCTGCTGTCAGTCTTGAGGTCCTCAGAAAAACCAGAGTCATGGCCACTGGATGGCTTGAACGCAGTGAGTGGCAAGCTTTGTGGTGTGATATGCCTTTTGGTTTGGATCCTTCTGGCTTGAGCTTGTTTTGGTAACCATAAAAGCTGTTTTCCTCTTGCCTTTCCACCTCCCCTCCAAATAAAGCTCTGCAAGTCCCAGAAAAATGACGCTGTGCTGATACAGGTGGAGCACAGTGGTGAGCTGGGGAATCTCAACTGGATTGCAGGGTTGGGCTTCCCAGTCCAATATTTGTGAGCACTAGCACACCTCCCTGTGGGTTGAATGCACTCTTCTGCCACT